ATTTCGAGTAACGAAGTTGATTGCGCTGATGTTGTATGACCCCGTGTGGCTACACTGAAGATCATTTAATCTGATATGATAAGTTCCTGGAGGTGAAGTGAGACTACCAACAGTGACGTTTCTCTGGTTACGTGACAGTTTAACATCTGATTTCGGGTTGCTAGAAACTTTGACTCTTAAGATCAAACTCGATCCTTCTCTGTATCTCACGTCTTTTCTGTCGATTACTTCATATGTGCCAGTATCATCTTGGTACTCTGTTTCTGTGATCATGGGATGGTCTAAAAAAAATAATGACCCTATACAAAATACAGCAAACATATCAATATTAAAGATTGCATAATAGCTGTATCTATATAGTTAACTGACATATTACCTGTGTCAGATTACCCTGCCTTACCCTGGACTGTTGTATCCACATTTTTACCTGTGTGAGATTACCTTGCCTTACCCTGGACTGTTGTATCCACATTTTTACCTGTGTGAGATTACCTTGCCTTACCCTGGACTGTTGTATCCACATTTTTACCTGTGTGAGATTACCCTGCCTTACCCTGGACTGTTGTATCAACATTTTTACCTGTGTGAGATTACCCTGCCTTACCCTGGACTGTTGTATCAACATTTTTACCTGTGTGAGATTACCTGCCTTACCCTGGACTGTTGTATCCACATTTTTACCTGTGTGAGATTACCCTGCCTTACCCTGGACTGTTGTATTCAGAGTTTTACCTGTGTGAGATTACCCTGCCTTACCCTGGACTGTTGTATCAACATTTTTACCTGTGTGAGATTACCCTGCCTTACCCTGGACTGTTGTATCAACATTTTTACCTGTGTCAGATTACCCTGCCTTACCCTGGACTGTTGTATCAACATTTTTACCTGTGTGAGATTACCTTGCCTTACCCTGGACTGTTGTATCGACATTTTTACCTGTGTGAGATTACCCTGCCTTACCCTGGACTGTTGTATCAACATTTTTACCTGTGTGAGATTACCCTGCCTTACCCTGGACTGTTGTATCCACATTTTTACCTGTGTGAGATTACCTTGCCTTACCCTGGACTGTTGTATCAACATTTTTACCTGTGTCAGATTACCCTGCCTTACCCTGGACTGTTGTATCAACATTTTTACCTGTGTGAGATTACCTTGCCTTACCCTGGACTGTTGTATCCACATTTTTACCTGTGTGAGATTACCCTGCCTTACCCTGGACTGTTGTATCCACATTTTTACCTGTGTGAGATTACCCTGCCTTACCCTGGACTGTTGTATTCAGAGTTTTACCTGTGTGAGATTACCTTGCCTTACCCTGGACTGTTGTATCCACATTTTTACCTGTGTGAGATTACCCTGCCTTACCCTGGACTGTTGTATCAACATTTTTACCTGTGTGAGATTACCTGTTGTGCCACATTTTTACCTGTGTGAGACTGCCTTACCCTGGACTGTTGTATCCACATTTTTACCTGTGTGAGATTACCTTGCCTTACCCTGGACTGCTGTACATACATTTTTACCTGTGTGAGATTACCCTGCCTTACCCTGGACTGCTGTACATACATTTTTACCTGTGTGAGATTACCTTGCCTTACCCTGGACTGTTGTATCAACATTTTTACCTGTGTGAGATTACCCTGCCTTACCCTGGACTGCTGTACATACATTTTTACCTGTGTGAGATTACCCTGCCTTACCCTGGACTGTTGTATCCACATTTTTACCTGTGTGAGATTACCTTGCCTTACCCTGGACTGTTGTATCCATTTTTACCTGTGTGAGATTACCTTGCCTTACCCTGGACTGTTGTATCCACATTTTTACCTGTGTCAGATTACCTTGCCTTACCCTGGACTGTTGTATCAACATTTTTACCTGTGTGAGATTACCTTGCCTTACCCTGGACTGCTGTACATATATTTTTACCTGTGTGAGAATTTCGCTGGCTTACCCTGGACTGTTGTATCAACATTTTTACCTGTGTCAGATTACCCTGCATTACTCTAGACTGTTGTATCAACATTTTTACCTGTGTCAGATTACCCTGCATTACTCTAGACTGTTGTATCAACATTTTTACCTGTGTCAGATTACCCTGCCTTACCCTGGACTGTTGTATCAACATTTTTACCTGTGTCAGATTACCCTGCCTTACCCTGGACTGTTGTATCAACATTTTTACCTGTGTGAGATTACCCTGCCTTACCCTGGACTGTTGTATCAACATTTTTACCTGTGTCAGATTACCCTGCATTACTCTAGACTGTTGTATCCAGAGTTTTACCTGTGATATTTCCTTGCCTTACGATAGAAAGAAAGTTAACGATTTCGCTTGAATCTTCATCACAGAACAAAAGGCTTGGTGCCATGAGTTAAGTCAGTGAAGGATTTTACCTGAATCTGCCTCACAGAACAAAAGGCTTGGTGCCATGAGTTAAGTCAGTGAAGGATTTTACCTGAATCTCCCTCACAGAACAAAAGGCTTGGTGCCATGAATTGAGTCAGTGAAGGATTTCGCCTGAATCTGCCTCACAGAACAAAAGGCTTGGTGCCATGAGTTAAGTCAGTGAAGGATTTCGCCTGAATCTCCCTCACAGAACAAAAGGCTTGGTGCCATGAGTTAAGTCAGTGAAGGATTTCACCTGAATCTCCCTCACAGAACAAAAGGCTTGGTGCCATGAGTTAAGTCAGTGAAGGATTTCGCCTGAATCTCCCTCACAGAACAAAAGGCTTGGTGCCATGAGTTAAGTCAGTGAAGGATTTCGTCCGAATCTCCCTCACAGAACACAAGGCTTAATGATAACAAAATAAAGTGCCTGTTAATAAGGGAAAAGCTGACAACATTCGAAACAGACCGTTTGATGTAGAGAAAGCGACATCAATATTGAATGTAGATCTTGTCGTATGTGGTGATATAACAAGGTCAATACACATAGGTATGACATCAGGAGATTTTTACATACAGACATATATACATTGATCCTATTCTGTATACTTACAGTAAACTTCAACTGTTATATTCTTTTCAATACTTGGTGCATCAAAAGCTGCGCGTGTTGACACTCGTGCTTTACATGTATAAGTTACCTCCCTTTGTCTGGGAAGTGACCGGTCAGTCAGAGTTACTTCAGATGTGATTTGAGATGGAATGAATTGTGCACCATCCTTTCTCCACTCTAATACACAATCCGGGTTACAATCAGTTCTACACACCACTGGGCCGTATATATCTCCCCTGATCAATGGCGACCGACCTTCAGTCCCCTCTATTGTAAGAAATTGGGGCCCATCTGGAAAAGAAATAACAATGAAGATTTTCAATAAAGTAGAAATTTCAGAAGGACTTTGATGTCTACAATAATATGGTCTTCATTCTGTCTTTAAAAGTTTCATCATTTCTCTATGTTTTCTTCTTTCATCTTAATTATCCTCCATATTGAATCGACCTGTAATTAGACGTACAGGAATAATGATCAGGTTTTAAAATTTGTCTTGTCATATCACAATGAGGCTGTTTTCTAATCTATTGACTGTTACTATAGATTTTGTTTAATTTACAAAACAATGTCAGTCATGCAAACTTGCTGGCCCAAGAAATTCGCTGGGAAACACAGTATGATATCTGGTTGCTATTTCTGACATCTGGATGTTATTTCTGATATATGTTTGTTATTTCTTTTATCTAATTGTGAATACTTATATCTGGTTGTTATTTCTAATATTTGGTTGTTATTTCTGATATCTGGTTGGTATTTCTGATATCTGGTAGTTTGTTCTGATATCTGGTAGTTTGTTCTGATATCTGGTTGTTATTTCTGATATCTGGTTGTTATTTCTGATATCTGGTTGGTATTTCTGATATCTGGTAGTTTGTTCTGATATCTGGTTGTTTGTTCTGATATCTGGTTGTTATTTCTGATATCTGGTAGTTTGTTCTGATATCTGGTTGTTTGTTGTGATATCTGGTTGTTTGTTCTGATACCTGGTTGGTATTTCTGATATCTGGTTTTTATGATTTTGCCTTCTGGAAATTGAACGGCATGTGAAACTTTCTACCATTCATTCAAAAAGTCTGACCCTCATTTAAGGATGATCTTGACCAAATGAAGGTCAAATTAATTGCATAAAAATATGGAAGGTTTTCTTCTACATTGGCATTTCTCTGGGTGAGACCGATAACTTAAATGAATTTTTTTTCACCCAAAGCTACTTCGGACCACTTTAGACCAAATCCTGTAATTCCTACAGAAGTACACATACTTTAGAAAATTTTGCTGTTAGTCTTTGGACCAAACATTTGTCAGTCCTATTGTACCACAGGAGATTCCAAGGTGATAGAAATAAATAGCACCAAACCTGTTACACTTACAGCGTGGTGTTAGTAGGAATGGGGCACTTTCTTCTGAGGCATTTCCGACAAACTCTGTAGGTTTCTTCTCTCGAGCCACACAAGTATAACTGTTATACTTGTCTTTGTACCTCACAGGATTGATAATGAGGTTTGAGCCATTGATAGAGAATCTGGCAACGTTGATCTCACTTCCATTAAGTTTCCATGACGATGTTTGGATCAGTCCATTATTGTCAGGCTTACTTCGTGATGTTGATGCACATAACAGTTTGACTTCGGTGTCAATAACTGGAGATTGACTTGATGTTGTAATAATTGGTTGTGTGGGCTGATCTGAAAAGTGAATTCAGTCTTAGCTAGAATGGCATCAAAACCTATAGTTATAATCTTGGAGCCAATAATCATTTGATCTTTATTTATTCTTTTTCTCACAAATACAAGAAAAAGATCCAACCAAAATTCCTAAATAACAACTGACGTTATAGAGCTCGGATTTATTTTTAAAACATTTTTTTCACACAAAAATAAAATTTACGTCCAAATATCTCTGTACAATTCCTAAATGGTTTAATATGAAACCAGTTGATATGAAATGTCATTGTAATTATTTGAGAGGTAAATTTTGGCCATCAGGTTTATACAACTAACTGGGGATTTCCAGGACTGCAAGAGAAAAGTATTTCATGATATTTCCAACGTGTGATTTGCATATGCATTTGCAATTGATGAACTAATTTTTGAAAATACAGTGAAAAAATGTATAATTATCTACAACCTGCTGTTATGGTGTCCATATGTAGCAAAGATTTCATTTAGTTTAATGATTTCAATATAAAGAAGGACTCACCAGTAACTACCAATAACTCTCCTCCAAGTATCAAATAAGTAGGACTCACCAGTAACTACCAATAACTCTCCTCCATGTATCAAATAAGTAGGACTCACCAGTAACTACCAATAACTCTCCTCCAAGTATCAAATAAGTAGGACTCACCAGTAACTACCAATAACTCTCCTCCAAGTATCAAATAAGTTGGACTCACCAGTAACTACCAATAACTCTCCTCCATGTATCAAATAAGTAGGACCAGTAACTACCAATAACTCTCCTCCATGTATCAAATAAGTAGGACTCACCAGTAACTACCAATAACTCTCCTCCATGTATCAAATAAGTAGGACTCACCAGTAACTACCAATAACTCTCCTCCAAGTATCAAATAAGTAGGACTCACAAGTATCAAATAAGTAGGACTCACCAGTAACTACCAATAACTCTCCTCCATGTATCAAATAAGTAGGACTCACCAGGACTCACCAGTAACTACCAATAACTCTCCTCCATGTATCAAATAAGTAGGACTCACCAGTAACTACCAATAACTCTCCTCCAAGTATCAAATAAGTAGGACTCACCAGTAACTACCAATAACTCTCCTCCATGTATCAAATAAGTAGGACTCACCAGTAACTACCAATAACTCTCCTCCATGTATCAAATAAGTAGGACTCACCAGTAACTACCAATAACTCTCCTCCATGTATCAAATAAGTTGGACTCAGCAGTAACTACCAATAACTCTCCTCCAAGTATCAAATAAGTAGGACTCACAAGTATCAAATAAGTAGGACTCACCAGTAACTACCAATAACTCTCCTCCAAGTATCAAATAAGTAGGACTCACAAGTATCAAATAAGTAGGACTCACCAGTAACTACCAATAACTCTCCTCCAAGTATCAAATAAGTAGGACTCACCAGGACTCACCAGTAACTACCAATAACTCTCCTCCTTGTATCAAATAAGTTGGACTCAGCAGTAACTACCAATAACTCTCCTCCAAGTATCAAATAAGTTGGACTCACCAGTAACTACCAATAACTCTCCTCCTTGTATCAAATAAGCATGCTGTCAGTTGGACTGTATTTGTAATTCCATACCTTGTGGATGTATTAAGTAGGACTCACCCATTTTTGTTGTTATCACCATCTATTTTCCCGTCAACAAATGTGAATAATGTGTTATCATTAAATTTAATGCTATATATGATGGCATTCGATGGTGGAAGGTTACCCAGTCATTCTGACCTTTCTCCCTGTTAAGATAGCTTTCGCTGTAACATAAAATGTCTTGATTTGAATGTTATATATGGACTTCATTATATATATATTTCTGTTGTTATAATCTATTTTCTGTGTCAACAACCTTTGTTGTGATAATGTTATATCATCTGATTTTAATCTGTAACTGATTTGTGGTCTGTTCAAACCACCTTTTTCTGTGATTTGTGGTCTGTTCGGATCACCTTTGTCTGTGATTTGTGGTCTGTTCGGATCACCTTTGTCTGTGATTTGTGGTCTGTTCGGATCACCTTTGTCTGTGATTTGTGGTCTGTTCAAACCACCTTTGTCTGTGATTTGTGGTCTGTTCAAACCACCTTTGTCTGTGATTTGTGGTCTGTTCGGATCACCTTTGTCTTTGTCTGTGATTTGTTGTCTGTTCAGATCACCTTTGTCTGTGATTTGTGGTCTGTTCAAACCACCTTTGTCTGTGATTTGTGGTCTGTTCAGATCACCTTTGTCTGTGATTTGTGGTCTGTTCGGATCACCTTTGTCTGTGATTTGTGGTCTGTTCAGATCACCTTTGTCTGTGATTTGTGGTCTGTTCAAACCACCTTTGTCTGTGATTTGTGGTCTGTTCAGATCACCTTTGTCTGTGATTTGTGGTCTGTTTGGATCACCTTTTCGGATCACCTTTGTCTGTGATTTGTGGTCTGTTCAGATCACCTTTGTCTGTCAGATCACCTTTGTCTGTGATTTGTGGTCTGTTCGGATCACCTTTGTCTGTGATTTGTGGTCTGTTCAGATCACCTTTGTCTGTGATTTGTGGTCTGTTTGGATCACCTTTGTCTGTGATTTGTGGTCTGTTCAAACCACCTTTGTCTGTGATTTGTGGTCTGTTCAAACCACCTTTGTCTGTGATTTGTGGTCTGTTCAGATCACCTTTGTCTGTGATTTGTGGTCTGTTCGGATCACCTTTGTCTGTGATTTGTGGTCTGTTCAGATCAGCTTTGTCTGTGATTTGTGGTCTGTTCAAACCACCTTTGTCTGTGATTTGTGGTCTGTTCAGATCACCTTTGTCTGTGATTTGTGGTCTGTTTGGATCACCTTTGTCTGTGATTTGTGTTCTGTTCAGATCAGCTTTGTCTGTGATTTGTGTTCTGTTCAGATCAGCTCTGTCTGTGATTTGTGTTATGTTCAAACCACCTTTGTCTGTAATTTGTGGGCTGTTCAGATCACCTTTGTCTGTGATTTTTTGTCTGTTATTTTAATAGGTGGTAGTAATGTTCTGTCTTTTTGGCTATATTATTGTTTAAAACCTGGTAATATATGCGCAAGAGCCTATGAGCCCCCTTGTCCCTATTTTATACAGACACACTATGGTATATCCAGATGACTCTCTTAATCTTCTCTTTGATAATTCCCATAAGATATTTCAATAAACCAAATGTTGAAATACTGAAAATATAACGGTTGTCTTGTTTAAGAGCTTTTTTCCATGAAGGTGATATTAATCTGATTACATCTAGGTAAATAGGTAAGTTAGAGTAAATTGAATTAAACAAAGTTCCTTCAAAACCACCTTTTTCTGTCTCTCAGTTCGTTTACGTTCATATGTATAACGTGATGATTTGATACATTTGAGCTCGTCCTCCGAAAGGCCGTAATAGTGGACGTAAAACTTGTTAGATAAATAAATTCATTTGAAGTTAACTATTCCCTGAGTCACTGACACAAGATGGTCTGACAGTTGACACATGTCATTGTAGAGTACTTACATGTTGTGACAGTTGTTGAAACTGAGTCACTGACACAAGATGATCTGACAGTTGACACATGTCATTGTAGAGTACTTACATGTTGTGACAGTTGTTGAAACTGAGTCACTGACACAAGATGATCTGACAATTGACACATGTTATGGTGGAGTACTGACATGTTGTGACAGATGTTGAAACTGAGTCACTGACACAAGATGATCTGACAATTGACACATGTTATGGTGGAGTACTTACGTGTTGTGACAGTTGTTGAAACTGAGTCACTGACACAAGATGATCTGACAATTGACACATGTTATGGCGGAGTACTTACGTGTTGTGACAGTTGTTGAAACTGAGTCACTGACACAAGATGATCTGACAATTGACACATGTTATGGCGGAGTACTTACGTGTTGTGACAGTTGTTGAAACTGAGTCACTGACACAAGATGATCTGACAGTTGACACCTGTTATGGTAGAGTAATTACATGTTGTGACAGTTGTTGAGGCTGTCACTGACACAAGATGATCTGATAGTTGACACATGTCATTGTAGAGTACTGACATGTTGTGACAGATGTTGAAACTGAGTCACTGACACAAGATGATCTGACAATTGACACATGTTATGGTGGAGTACTTACGTGTTGTGACAGTTGTTGAAACTGAGTCACTGACACAAGATGATCTGACAATTGACACATGTTATGGCGGAGTACTTACGTGTTGTGACAGTTGTTGAAACTGAGTCACTGACACAAGATGATCTGACAATTGACACACAGTACTTACGTGTTGTGACAGTTGTTGAAACTGTTGAAACTCCAATGATATATACTGTACTGACCAGTGATATATACTGTACTGACCAATGATATATACTGTACTGACCAATGATATATACTGTACTGACCAGTGATATATACTGTACTGACCAGTGATATATACTGTACTGACCAGTGATATATACTGTACTGACCAATGATATATACTGTACTGACCAGTGATATATACTGAACTGTCCAGTGATATATACTGTACTGACCAGTGATATATACTGTACTGACCAATGATATATATTACTGTACTGACCAATATACTGTACTGACCAGTGATATATACTGTACTGACCAGTGATATATACCGTACTTACCAGTGCTATGTACTGAACTGTCCGGTGATATATACTGTACTGACCAGTGATATATACTGTACTGACCAGTGATATATACTATACTGACCTACTGATCAGTGATATATACTGTACTGACCAGTGAGATATATTGTACTGACCTGCTATATATACTTTCCTGACCAGTGATATGAAGTGTACTGACCAGTGATATATACTGAACTGTCCAGTGATATATACTGTACTGACCAGCGATATATACTGTACTGACCAATGATATATGCTGTACTGACCAGTGATATATACTGTACTGACCAATTATATTTCCTGTACTGACCAGTGATCTATACTGTAATGACCAGTGATATACACTGTACTGTCCAGTGATATCTACTGTACTGGCCAATTATATTTCCTGTACGGACCAGTTATATATATTGTACTGACCAATGATATATACTGTACTGACCAGTGATATATACTGTACTGACCAATGATATATACTGTACTGACCAGTGATATATACTGTACTGACCAGTGATATATACTGTACTGACCAGTGATATATACTGTACTGACCAGTGATATATACTGTACTGACCAGTGATATATACTGTACTGACCAGTGATATATACTGTACTGACCAATGATATATACTGTACTGACCAATGATATATACTGTACTGACCAGTAATATATGCTATACTGACCAATGATATATACTGTACTGACCAGTGATATTTACTGTACTGACAGGTGATATATACTGTACTGACCAATGATATATACTGTACTGACCAGTGATATATACTGTACTGACCAGCGATATATACTTTCCTGACCAGTGATATATAGTGTACTGACCAGTGATATATAATGTACTGACTAATACACTGTACTGACCAGTGATATTTCCTGTACTGACCAGTGATATTAACTGTACTGACAGGTGATATATACTGTACTGACCAATGATATATACTGTACTGACCAGTGATATATACTGTACTGACCAGTGATATATACTGTACTGACCAGTGATATATACTGTACTGACCAGTGATATATACTGTACTGACCAGTGATATATACTGTAATGACCAGTGATATATACTGTACTGACCAGTGATATATACTGTACTGACCAGTGATATATACTGTACTGACCAATGATATATACAGTACTGACCAGTGATATATACTCTACTGACCTATTGACTAGTGATATATACTGTACTGACCAGTGATATATACTGAACTGTCCAGTGATATATATTGTACTGACCAATGATATATACTGTACTGACCAGTGATATATACTGTACTGACCAGTGATATATACTGTACTGACCACTGATATATACTGTACTGACCAGTGATATATACTGTACTGACCAGTGATATATACTCTACTGACCAGTGACATATACGGTACTGACCAGTGATATATACTCTACTGACCAGTGATATATACTGAACTGACCAGTAATATATGCTATACTGACCAATGATATATACTCTACTGTACTGACCAATGATATATGCTGTACTCACCAATGATATATATTGCACTGACCAGTGATATATACTGTACTGACCAATAATAAGTACTTTAAAGACTAGTGATATATACTGTACTGACCAGTGATATATACTGAACTGTCCACTGATATATACTGTACTGACCAGTGATATATACTGTACTCACCAGTGATATATACTATACTGACCTACTGACCAGTGATAGATACTGTAATGACCAGTGATAGATACTGAATTGTTCAGTGATATATACTGTACTGACCAGTGATATATACCGTACTGACCAATGATATATAATACTGCACTGACCAGTGATATATACTCTACTGACCAATGATATATAATACTGCACTGACCAGTGATATATACTGTACTGACCAATGATATATACTGTACTGACCAGTGATATATACTGTACTGACCAGTGATATATATTCTACTGACCAGTGATATATACTTTACTGACCTACTGTCCAGTGATATCTACTGTACTGACCATATATATTTCCTGTACTGACCAGTGATATATAATACTCTACTAACCAATATACTGTACTGACCAGTGATATATACTGTACTGACCAGTGATTTATACTGTACTGACCAGTGATATATAATACTGTACTGACCAGTGATATACACTGTATTGACAATTATATTGTACTGACCAGTGATATAAACTGTACTGACAAGTCATATATACTGTAATGACCAATAATATATACTGTACTGACAAGTCATATATACTGTACTGACCAGTGATATATACTGTACTGTATTGACCAGGGATATATAATGTACGGTACTGACCAGTGATTTATTCTGTACTGACCAATGATATATATATAGTGATATATACTGACCAGTGATATATAGTGAACTGTCCACTGATATATACTGTACTGACCAGTGATATATACTGTACTGACCAGTGATATATACTTGTGATCAATGTTTTATTATACTGCACTGACCAGTGATATATACTGTACTGACGAATGATATATACTGTACTGACCAGTGATATATACTGTACTGACCAGTGATATATACTGTCCTGACCAATGATATATACTGTACTGACCAGTGATATATACTGTACTGACCAGTGATATATACTGTACTGACCAGCGATATATACTGTACTGACCAATAATATGTACTTTAAAGACCAGTGATATATACTGTACTGACCAATAATATATACTGTAATGACCAGTGATATATACTGTACTGACCAGTGATATATACTGTACTGACCAGTGATATATACTGTACTGACCAGTGATATATACTGTACTGACCAGTGATATATACTGTACTGACCAATGATATATACTGTACTAACCAGTGATATATACTGTACTGACCAGTGATATATACTGTACTGACCAGTGATATATACTGTACTGACCAGTGATATATACTGTACTGACCAATGATATATACAGTACTGACCAACGATATATACTCTACTGACCAATGATATATACTCTACTGACCAGTGATATATACTGACCAGTGATATATACTGTACTGACCAATGATATATACTGTACTGACAAATGATATATACTGTACTGACCAGTGATATATACTGTACTGACAAGTCATATATACTGTACTGAACTGACCAATGATCAATACTGTACTGACCAGTGATATATACTGTACTGACCAATGATATATATTACTGTACTGACCAATATACTGTACTGACCAGTGATATATACTGTACTGACCAGTTATATATACTGTACTGACCAGTGATTTATACTGTACTGACCAGTGATATATACTGTACTGATCAGTGATATATACTGAAGTGTCCAGTGATATATACTGTACTGACCAGTGATATATACTGTACTGACCAGTGATATATACTGTACTGACCAGTGATATATACTGAACTGACCAATGATATATACTCTACTGACCAATGATATATATTCTACTAACCAGTGATATATACTTTACTGACCTACTGTCCAGTGATATCTACTGTACTGGCCAATTATATTTCCTGTACTGACCAGTGATATATACTGTACTGACCAGTGATATATACTGAACTGTCCAGTGATATATACTGTACTGATCAGTGATATATACCGTACTGACCAGTGATATTTACTGTACTGAAATATACTGTATTGACCAGTGATATTTACTGAACCGCCCAATTATATATACTGTACTGACCAGTGATATATAGCCTACTGACCAATGATATATACTGTACTGACCAGTGATATATACTGTACTGACCAGTGATATATACTGTACTGACCAATGATATATACTGTATTGACCAGTGATATATACTGTACTGACCAGTGATATATACTGTATTGACCATTATACTGTACTGACCAGTGATATATACTGTACTGACCAGTGATATATACTGTACTGACCAGTGATATATACTGTACTGACCAGTGATATATACTGAACTGTCCAGTGATATATACTCTACTGACCAATGATATATACTGAACTGTCCAATGACATATACTGTACTGACCAGTGATATATACTGAACTGTCCAGTGCTAAATAGATATATACTGTTCTGACCAGTGATATATACTGTACTGACCAATTATATTTCCTGTACTGATCAGTGATATATACTGTACGGACTAATGATATATACCGTACTGACCAGTGATATATATCGTACTGACCAATGATATATAATACTGCACTGACCAGTGATATATACTGTACTGACCAATATACTGTACTGACCAGTGATATATACTGTACTGACCAGTTATATATACTGTACTGACCAGTGATTTATACTGTACTGACCAGTGATATATACTGAACTGTCCAGTGATATATACTGTACTGATCAGTGATATATACCGTAGTGACCATTGATATATACTGAATTGTTCAGTGATATATACTGTACTGACCAGTTATATTTACTGTACTGACATATACTGTGCTGACCAGTGATATATACTGTACTGACCAGTGATATATACTGAACTGTCCAGTGATATATACTGTACTGACCAGTGATATATACTGTACTGACCAATGATATATATTACTGTACTGACCAATATACTGTACTGACCAGTGATATATATACTGTACTGACCAGTGATATATATAATGTACTGGCCAGTGATGTATACTGTACTGACCAATATACTGTACTGACCAGTGATATCTACTGAACTGACCATATATATTTCCTGTACTGACCAGTGATATATACTCTACTGACCAGTTATATGTACTTTACTGACCAATGTTATATACTGTACTGACCAGTGATATATACTGTACTGAACAATGATATATAATACTGTACTGACCAATGATATATACTGTACTGACCAGTGATATATACTGTACTGACTGATGATATATGACCAGTGATATATACTTTACTGACCAGTGATATATACTGAACTGTCCACTGATATATACTGCAATGACCAGTGAGATATATTGTACTTACCAGTTATATATACTTTCCTGACCAGTGATATATACTGTACTGACCAGTGATATATACTGTACTGACCAGTGATATATACTGTACTGACCAGTGATATATACTGTATTGACCAGTGATATATACTGTATTGACCAATGATATATACTGTACTGACTAGTGATATATACTGTACTGACTAGTGATATATACTGTACTGACTAGTGATATATACTGTATTGACCAGTGATATATACTGTATTGACCAGTGATATATACTGTACTGACCAGTGATATATACTGTATTGACCAGTGATATATACTGTACTGACCAGTGATATATACTGTATTGACCAATGATATATACTGTACTGGCCAGTGATATATATTTTACTGACCAGTCATATATACTGTCCTGACCAGTGATATATACTGAACTGACCAGTGATATTTACTGTAGTGACAGGTGATATATACTGTATTGACCAGTGATATATATATACTGTACTTTCCTGACCAGTGATATGAAGTGTACTGACCAGTGATATATACTGAACTGTCCAGTGATATATACTGTACTGACCAGTGATATATACTGTACTGACCAGTGATATATACTGTACTGACCAGTGATATATACTGTACTGACGAATAATATATACTGTACTGACCAGTGATATATACTGTACTGACCAGTGATATATACTGTACTGACCAGTGATATTTACTGTACTGACATATACTGTACTGACCAGTGATATTTACTGAACTGACCAGTGATATTTACTGTACTGACAGGTGATATATACTGTACTGACCAATGATATATACTGTACTGACCAGTGATATATACTGTACTGACCAGTGATATATACTGTACTGACCAGTGATATATACTGTACTAAACAGTGATATATACTGTACTGACCAGTGATATATACTGAACTGTCCACTGATATATACTGTACTGACCAGTGATATATACTGTACTGACCAGTGATATATACTGTACTGACCAGTGATATATACTGTACTGACCAGTGATATATACTGTACTGACCAGTGATATATACTGTACTGACCAGTGATATATACTGTACTGACCAATGATATATACTGTACTGACCAGTGATATATACTGTACTGACCAATGATATATACTGTACTGACCAGTGATATATACTGTACTGACCAAAAATATATGCTGTAATGACCAGTGATATATGCTGTACTGACCAGTGATATATAATGTACTGACCAGTAATATATACTGTACTGACCGATAATATATACTGTAATGACAAGTGATATATACTGTACTGACCAGTGATATATACTGTAATGACCAGTGATATATACTGTACTGACCAGTGATATATACTGAACTGTCCAGTGATATATACTGTACTGACCAGTGATATATACTGTACTGACCAGTGATATATACTGTACTGACCAGTGATATATACTGTACTGACCAGTGATATATAGTGAACTGTCCACTGATATATACTGTACTGACCAGTGATATATACTATACTGACCTAATGACCAGTGATATATACTGTACTGACCAGTGATATATACTACACAGACTTACTGACCAGTGATATATACTGTACTGATCTGTGATATATACTGTACTGACCAGTGATATATACTGAACTGTCCACTGATATATACTGTACTGACCACTGATATATACTGTACTGACCAGTGATATATACTGTACTGACCAGTGATATATACTGTACTGACCAGTGATATATACTGTACTGACCAGTGATATATACTGTACTGACCAATGATATATACTGTACTGACCAGTGATATATACTGTACTGACCAGTGATATATATAATGTACTGGCCAGTGATATATACTGTACTGACCAATATACTGTACTGACCAGTGATATATACTGTACTGACCAGTGATATATACTGTACTGACCAGTGATATATACTGTACTGACCAATGATATATACTGTACTGACCAGTGATATATACTGTACTGACCAGTGATATATACTGTACTGACCAGTGATATATACTGTACTGACCAGTGATATATACTGTACTGACCAGTGATATATACTGAAGTGTCCAGTGATATATACTGTACTGACCAATGATATATCCTGTACTGACTAGTGATATATACTGCAATGACCAGTGAGATATATTGTACTTACCAGTTATATATACTTTCCTGACCAGTGATATATAGTGTACTGACCAGTGATATATACTGTACTGACCAGTGATATATACTGTACTGACCAGTGATATATACTGTACTGTCCAGTGATATATACTCTACTGACCATTTATATATACTGTACTGACCAGTGAGATATATATACTCGCCTCAGTGGCCCTACTGACCAGTGATATATAGGTCTCCGTCTCCAACGATGTTTAGACCGATATCAGTTGAGTGCTCTGACTACTTCCTTCTTTTGCTCTGGACCGTTATATACCTATGTACACTCTGATGACGGCATTTCATCTCTTATTGATCATGTGATAATAGATTCATCAAAAACTGACCTCATATCAAACTGTTATATCGGCGACCAACCTTATTTGGACGTATCCAGTCACAGACCAATTTTTTGTGATATTCTTTTTCCCACCGCATCGGCCGTAAAATCTCCTCAGATTGAACGCAGTGTTTTCAAGTGGCCTTCAGATGGCACTTCTTCAGGTACTGAAGTCTATCACGATAACCTTCATCAGTTTATAACGCAGTCCAATCTCATCAGTCTTCGGTTAAACAATATTTCAGACATCGACAGTTATACAGTCCTATTGACTTAAGGTATTCATGACACAGCCTTATCGTCTCTCCAAAAGAGGAAGTTTAATAAATTCTTGAAACCCTATTGGAAAGGAGAGCTGAAGGAGTTACATCGCGATATGTGGCGGTTGAGGTGCATTTGGGATGACGAAGGTCGTCCTCGTGATCCTAACTCCCAGTCCTTTTGGTTATACAAGGACGCGAAACGTAAGTTCCGGCGTAAACACCGCCAGTTATCAGAGAACCATCTTATTACTCTGAATTCCGACATCGAAGAAGCGGCGGATATAAATCAAAAGTCGTTTTGGTCTATGGTGAGATCTGGTGCTGGTGGTGGATCTCGTGGTTCAGCGGGAGCTGAAGTAATGTTTGGGAACCAGACTGTCAGAGACCCTGCTGCGTTAGCGTTGTACTGGGGCGAGTATTTCTCCGGTATTTACTCCCACTATACTGGCCGCCTCTTTGACAATGACTTTAAGTCGTCTGTTGAATCCGAGTTGGCAGAATTCCTATGCCATGATGCTCCAGCAACAAGCTCTTCCGAAATAACTTTTACAGTGGATGAAGTTAACCTTACCTGTAAAAGTCTTCCTCTTGGAAAAGCTCCTGGCATTGACTATATTGTATACGAACACCTAAAGTATGCTTGCACTTCACTCTATGTATGTCTTTGTACATTATTTAATGCTTTCATAAGGTTTGAATATGTACCTGTGTCACTCAAACATGGTTTGATTTGCACGTTATATAAAGGTCATAATAAGCCAAAGAATGACCCAAATAACTTCAGAGCGATTTCTCTTCTACCCGGTATTCTAAAAGTGTATGAAAAACTACTCTTGAAAAGATTAGAGTCCATGAACCTTTTTCATGTAAATTCATTACAGCATGGTTTTCAAAAACAAGCTAGCAGCTCTATGACTTCATATATCGTGCAAGAAACAATTGCGTACGCTTCTGAACATGATAGTAAATTGTTCACTTGTTTTTTAGACGCGTCTAAAGCCTTTGATTGTGTCTGGCTCGACGGTCTGTTTTTAAAACTATCACATTTGGGTTTTGACAGAAAAATTGTTAGTATGATTATGTCTTTACACAAGGATATGTATAGTGTTGTTATGTATCAAAACTTTGTGTCTGAAGTGTTCGAGATAAGCCAGGGAACACGTCAGGGCTGTATTATCTCCCCTTGGCTCTACTCTGTTTATATCAACGATTTATTGAATGATCTTTGTAGTTCTGTATACTCGCTAGCTATATCTGATGTTAATGTCACGTGCCCTACGCAAGCAGATGATATTTGTCTTCTTTCACTTACCAAACACAATTTAGATATGCTTATAGGTATTTGCTACAAGTATAGTTGTAAATGGAGATTTAAATATAATGCCTCCAAATCAGTAGTTATCGTCTTCAATGAAAGTAGTGATGTTCGCTCACAATCGTATCGTACTTGGTATCTAGGTGACAATGTTGTTAATGAAAGCACAAATGTTAAACACGTGGGTATTAATTTGAATAAATTTAAACCAGGTCGGCCTGATGTTGACGATGTTATCCACAAACTACGAGGTCAGTGTTTTGCTCTACTAAATTGTAATTTATTTGGTCCTAGTATCAATCCCTTGACTGGAGTACATCTATATTTGTCTGTTGTACTCCCTAGAGGTATGTTTGGTTGTGAGCTCTGGAACTCTCTCTCCAACTCTGATTGGCATCGCCTAGAATCAGTCCATCATTTATGTGCAAAATTAATACAAAATTTCCCACTTCGTACTAGGTCTGGTGTAGCATTGGGAATGTTAGGTTTATCTTCTATACATCTTTACGTAGAGCAATGTAAGCTTCGTTTTTTCGGGGCTTTGTGTAATATCAAAAAAACTTGTACTTCAAAGCAACTCTTTTTGTTGCGTTTACATCAAAAACATCTTGGGGTAAATAACGCTAAGAAAGGTTTCATCAACGAAGTTTGGGATGCTTTGCACAAATACAACTTCCGAGGCATCTTACTTGATTTTCTTAATTCTGGGAAATTTCCATCCAAACTTGGCTGGAAATATCTTGTAAAGAATGTCCTTCTGTGTAAAGAATCTGATGACCGGCGTTTACGTATAAACAGTTCGTTAGAATTTCATAGATTCAAAATTCTTCATCCTGATATGGTTCCTGCAGTAATCTGGTCATTTTCTAAACGCCATCCAAATTTTAACAGGACATGTAAAACTGTGGCAAAAATGTGGATTGCCCCTCCTACTTGTGAACTTTTATGTGCTCGATGTAAAGGCACTTTTGAAGACGCAGTCGCCCATTGTTTACTTGACTGCAAAGAGCCCGTATTAACGTCTCTGCGAGATAATCTTTTTACTAGTTTTGTGGACAAATATCCAGTTTATGTGTATGTATCATTTGACCAGGCGGACAGAGATGTCCAGATAGCGGCTCTGTTGGGTGCCCCCAGTGAGGACATTTATGAATCATTTTATGACGATTCATCTTTGTTTACATTTTTTATTAAAGAGTGTCTAATGTTTTCTGAAAAGGCCTACAATATGACTTTTCAGTAAAGGCCATCTCCTATCTAATGTTTGATGTGTTCTGCTAGAAATCTCCATTATTGATGGATTGGTTATTCACATTCACTGTTCAATATTTATATACATATATTCTTGCACTTTTTTCTTTAATTTTCACCTAAATTTACAATATTTGTCATTGTAATTACTCTTCAATATTTGGAAGAAATAAAGAAATGATGACTGTACTGACCAGTGATATATACTTACTGTATTTACCAGTGATATATACTGTACTGACCAGTGATATATACTGTACAGACCAATGATATATACTGTACTGACCAATGATATATACTGTACTGACCAATAATATATACTGTACTGACAAGTCATATATACTGTATTGACCAATAATATATACTGTACTGACAAGTGATATATACTGTGCTGGACTGACCAGTGATATATACTCTACTGACAAATGATACATATTGTACTGACCAATGATATATACTGTACTGACCAGTGATATATACTGTACTGATCAATGATATATACTGTACTGACCAGTGATATATACTGTACTGATCTGTGATATATACTGTACTGACCAGTGATATATAGTGAACTGTCCACTGATATATACTGTACTGACCAGTGATATATACTGTACTGACCAGTGATATATACTATACTGTATAGACCAATGATATATACTGTACAGACTAATGAAATATACTGTACTGACCAGTGATATATATTGTACTGACCAATGATATATACTGTACTGACCAATAATATATACTGTACTGATACGTCGTCAATACTATACTGACCAGTGATATATACTGTACTGTATTTACCAGTGATATATACTATACTGACCAGTGATATATACTATACTGACCAGTGATATATACTGTACTGACCAGTGATATATACTGTACTGTATTGACCAGTGATATATACTGTACTGACCAGTGATATATACTGTACTGACCAGTGATATATACTGTACTGACCAATGATATATAGCCTACTGTGATATATACTGTACTGACCAATGATATATAGCCTACTGACCAATGATATATACTGTACTGACCAGTGATATATACTGTACTGTATTGACCAGGGATATATACTGTACTGTACTGACCAGTGATATATACTGTACTGACCAGTGATATATACTGTACTGACCAGTGATATATACTGTACTGACACGATATATACTGTACTGACCAGTGATATATACTGTACTGACCAGTGATATATACTGTACTGACCAGTGATATATACTGTACTGACCAATGATATATACTGTACTGACCAGTGATATATACTGTACTGACCAGTGATATATACTGTATTGACCAGTGATATATACTGTATTGACCAGTGATATATACTGTACTGACCAATGATATATACTGTACTGACCAATGATATATACTGACCAATGATATATACTGTACTGACCAGTGATATATACTGTACTGACCAATGATATATACTGTACTGACCAGTGATATATACTGTACTGACCAGTGATATATACTATAGTGACCTACTGACCAGTGATATATACTGTACTGACCAGTGATATATACTGTACTGACCAATGATATATACTGTACTGAACAGGGATATATACTGTACTGACCAGTGATATATATTGTACTGACCAGTGATATATACTGTACTGACCAGTGATATATACTGTACTGACCAGTGATATATATTGTACAGACCAGTGATATATCGTGTACTAACCAATGATGTATACTGTATTGACCAGTGACATATACTGTACTGACCAATGATATATAATACTGTACTGACCAGTGATATATACTGTACTGACCAATGATATATACTGTATTGAACAGTGATATATACTGTACTGACCAATGATATATAATACTGTACTGACCAGTGATATATACTGTACTGACCAGTGATATACACTATACTGTCCAGTGATATCCACTGTACTGACCATTTATATTTCCTGAACTGACCAGTGAGATATACTGTACTGACCAGTGATATATACTGTATTGACCAGTGATATATACTGTATTGACCAATGATATATACTGTACTGACCAGTGATATATACTGTACTGACCAGTGATATATACTGTACTGACCAGTGATATATACTGTACTGACCAGTGATATATACTGTACTGACCAATGATATATACTGTACTGACCAGTGATATATACTGTACTGACCAGTGATATATACTGTACTGACCAGTGATATATACTGTACTGACCAGTGATATATAGCCTACTGACCAGTGATATATACTGTACGGACCAGTGATATATATAATGTACTGGCCAGTGATATATACTGTACTGACCAAGATACTGTACTGACCAGTGATATATACTGTACTGACCAGTGATATATACTGAACTATCCAGTGATATATACAGTACTGACCAATGATACTGTACTGACTGATATATACTGTACTGACCAATGATATATACTCTACTGATCAGTGATATATGCTGTACTGACCAGTGATATATCTGTACTGACCAATGATATATACTGTACTGACCAGTGATATATAATGTACTGACCAGGGATATATACTGTACTCTACTGACCAGTGATATATACTGTACTGACCAGTGATATATACTGTACTGACCAGTGATATATACTGTACTGACCAGTGATATATACTGTACTGACCAGTGATATATACTGTACTGACCAATGATATATACTGTACTGACCAGTGATATATACTGTACTGACCAATGATATATACTGTACTGACCAGTGATATATACTGTACTGACCAATGATATATACTGTACTGACCAATGATATATACTGTACTGACCAGTGATATATACTGTACTGACCAGTGATATATACTGTACTGACCAATGATATATACTGTACTGACCAATGATATATATTGTACTGACCAGTGATATATACTGTACTGACCAATGATATATACTGTACTGACCAGTGATATATACTGTACTGACCAGTGATATATACTGTACTGACCAGTGATATATATTGTACTGACCAGTGATATATAGCCTACTGACGAATGATATATACTGTACTGACCAGTGATATATACTGTACTGACCAGTGATATATACTGTACTGACCAATGATATATACTGTACTGACCAATGATATATACTGTACTGACCAGTGATATATACTCTACTGACCTACTGATCAGTGATATATACTGTACTGACCAGTGATATATACTGTACTGACCAGTGATATATACTGTACTGACCAGTGATATATACTGTACTGACCAATGATATATACTGTACTGACCAGTGATATATACTGTACTGACCAGTGATATATACTGTACTGACCAGTGATATATACTGTACTGACCAGTGATATATACTGTACTGACCAGTGATATATACTATACTGACCAGTGATATATACTGTACTGACCAGTAATATATACTGTACTGACGAATAATATATGCTGTAATGACCAGTGATATATACTGTACTGACCAGTGATATATACTCTACTGACCAGTGACATATACGGTACTGACCAGTGATATATACTCTACTGACCAGTGATATATACTGAACTGTCCAGTGATATATACTGTACTGACCAGTGATATATACTGTACTGACCAGTGATATATACTGTACTGACCAGTGATATATATTGTACTGACCAGTGATATATACTGAACTGACCAGTGATATATACTATACTGTACTGACCAATATACTGTACTGACCAGTGATATATACTGTACTGACCAGTTATATATACTGTACTGACCAGTGATTTATACTGTACTGACCAGTGATATATACTGAACTGTCCAGTGATATATACTGTACTGACCAGTGATATATACTGTACTGACCAGTGATATATACTGTACTGACCAGTGATATATACTGTACTGACCAGTGATATATACTGTACTGACCAGTTATATATACTGTACTGACCAGTGATTTATACTGTACTGACCAGTGATATATACTGTATTGACCAGTGATATATACTGTACTGACCAGTGATATATACTGTACTGACCAGTGATATATACTGTACTGACCAGTGATATATACTGTACTGACCAATATACTGTACTGACCAGTGATATATACTGTACTGACCAATGATATATACTGTACTGACCAGTGATATATACTGTACTGACCAGTGATATTTGCTGTACTGACCAGTGATATATACTGTACTGACCAGTGATATATACTGTACTGACCAGTGATATATACTGTACTGACCAGTGATATATACTGTACTGACCAGTGATATATACTGTACTGACCAGTGATATATACTGTACTGACCAATGATATATACTGTACTAACCACTGATATATACTGTACTGATCAATTATATTTCCTGTACTGACCAGTGATATATACTGTACTGACCAGCTGTACTGACCAGTGATATATACTGTACTGACCAATTGATATATACCTGTATATATACCAGTCAAATGGAAGAATATTAACACAATCATTTAAAACCAGGAATACTGTTACTTACTAGTGATATATACTGGAAACACTTAAATTGTGTATATATACAGTACAATAACCATGTATATATACTGTTACAGAACTGACCAGTGAATATATGTGTATTTACACCATCATTGTAAAACCAAAAAAGTTACAACAAACCTCAGCTTACAAGCCGCCATTTTGATATGTTTCAGAAAATTCGTAAATTGTGTACAAGGAAGAATAAACATGATCATCATAGTTCTATACAGGTCAAAGGTCAACCTCTTATGCTCAGAGGCCACATCCAGCTTCCCACACCAGCACATCACTTTCTAATATACATGTAGGAAATTTAACACAGGGTCCTGACAAAGGGCTCCTAAAAACTATCCCTTTCAGTATATCTGAAGTTGTGTCTTCAATCTAGTGTTTATAAACACTGTGTCTTTCATTTTTTTGAAGTCATGTCTCCAGATACCCAGTGTATATAAACTCTGTGTCTTTCAGTTTTTCACATGTCTCCCACACCAGCACACCAGTGTAATATACATGTAGGAAATAACCAGTGTTTACAAATGTCTCCAAAAACTATAATCATGTCTCCAGATAACCAGTGTTTCAGTATGTCTCTGATAACCAGTGTGTCTCCAGATAACCAGTGTTTATAAACATGTCTCAGATAACCAGTGTTTATGAAGTCATGTCTCCAGAGATAGTCATGTCTCCAGTGTTTATAGTCATGTCATGTCTCCAGATCCAGATAACCAGTGTTTATAGTCAGATAACCAGTGTTTACATGTCTCCAGATAACCAGTGTTTATAATCATGTCTCCAGATAACCAGTGTTTATAATCATGTCTCCAGATAACCAGTGTTTATAGTCATGTCTCCAGATAACCAGTGTTTATAGTCATGTCTCCAGATAACCAGTGTTTATAATCATGTCTCCAGATAACCAGTGTTTATAATCATGTCTCCAGATAACCAGTGTTTATAGTCATGTCTCCAGATAACCAGTGTTTATAATCATGTCTCCAGATAACCAGTGTTTATAATCATGTCTCCAGATAACCAGTGTTTATAATCATGTCTCCAGATAACCAGTGTTTATAATCATGTCTCCAGATAACCAGTGTTTATAATCATGTCTCCAGATAACCAGTGTTTATAGTCATGTCTCCAGATAACCAGTGTTTATAATCATGTCTCCAGATAACCAGTGTTTATAGTCATGTCTCCAGATAACCAGTGTTTATAGTCATGTCTCCAGATAACCAGTGTTTATAGTCATGTCTCCAGATAACCAGTGTTTATAGTCATGTCTCCAGATAACCAGTGTTTATAGTCATGTCTCCAGATAACCAGTGTTTATAGTCATGTCTCCAGATAACAGCAGTCAATAGTATTAATCATGTAATGCACACAATAAAGTATTAGAATTTGTATTATTAACTAACAAAACAGTAATTACATAGGGAGAAGGTCAGGCAGAGTAACCTCTGTCATAGGCCTGTGTTTACTAACTAACAAAACAGTAATTATATAGGGAGAAGGTCAGGCAGAGTAACCTCTGTCATAGGCCTGTGTTTACTAACTAACAAAACAGTAATTATATAGGGAGAAGGTCAGGCAGAGTAACCTCTGTCATAGGCCTGCGTTTACTAACTAACAAAACAGTAATTACATAGGGAGAAGGTCAGGCAGAGTAACCTCTGTCATAGGCCTGTGTTTACTAACTAACAAAACAGTAATTATAATTATATAGGGAGAAGGTCAGGCAGAGTAACCTCTGTCATAGGCCTGTGTTTACTAACTAACAAAACAGTAATTATATAGGGAGAAGGTCAGGCAGAGCAACCTCTGTCATAGGCCTGTGTTTACTAACTAACAAAACAGTAATTACATAGGGAGAAGGTCAGGCAGAGTAACCTCTGTCATAGGCCTGTGTTTACTAACTAACAAAACAGTAATTACATAGGGAGAAGGTCAGGCAGAGTAACCTCTGTCATAGGCCTGTGTTTACTAACAAAACAGTAATTATATAGGGAGAAGGTCAGGCCGAGCAACCTCTGTCATAGGCCTGCGTTTACTAACTAACAAAACAGTAATTATATAGGGAGAAGGTCAGGCCGAGCAACCTCTGTCATAGGCCTGTGTTTACTAACTAACAAAACAGTAATTATATAGGGAGAAGGTCAGGCAGAGTAACCTCTGTCAAAGGCCTGTGATTACTAATAAGACAGTAATTACCCAAGTATTAGTCAGGAGAAGGTCAGGCAGAGCAACCTCTGTCAAAGGCCTGTGGTTACTAACTAACAAAACAGTAATTACATAGGGAGAAGGTCAGGCAGAGTAACCTCTGTCAGAGGCCTGTGATTCAAACATTTACACCAAAGCTCAGGCAGGGGTCAGGGCTCAAACTGAAGTGGGATCCTTTTCTTTTTAAATCGTTCTCGCAACATCCTGCTAAAGTTAAAACAGGAAGATATTGTGAATCATCCCACTGTAATATAAGTATATACATATCTCTGGGGTAAAGACTCCCTATTTATATAGTTGTAGGGACGTTGTATACAATAAGTGTAGCAACCTAATGGTGTCAGAAATGATTTGGTTCTGATTACTGGGCTGATACAATGATAAGGCATTCACGCTCTTCATGTTTCTTTTTTATTTCATATAAATAAAATTTCTTTGTGATTCAAATTTTTAAAATATCAATCATACAAAACAACGTTCAGTGGTGAAATGGACATCCCTATACTACACTTACAGGTGTGTAAATATACAGACCAATTAATTGCCAACTTAGTGATAAACTGTTCAAACAAAATATATATAAAAATAAAGCATTTTATCAATATAAAAATAACAGTTATCATATTGTAATAAACCAGTTCATCATAATGTAATAAACCAGTTTATCATAATGTAATAAACCAGTTTATCATATTGTAATAAACAAGTTCATCATAATGTAATAAACCAGTTCATCATATTGTAATAAACCAGTTCATCATATTGTAATAAACCAGTTCATCATATTGTAATAAACAAGTTCATCATAATGTAATAATCCAGTTTATCATATTGTAATAAACCAGTTCATCATATTGTAATAAACCAGTTCATCATAATGTAATAATCCAGTTTATCATATTGTAATAAACCAGTTCATCATCAAGTTCATCATAATGTAATTCCAGTATAAACCAGTTCATCATATAATGTAATAAATTGTAATCCAGTTTATCATATTGTAATAAACCAGTTCATCATATTGTAATAAACAAGTTCATCATAATGTAATAAACCAGTTCATCATATTGTAATAAACCAGTTCATCATATTGTAATAAACCAGTTTATCATATTGTAATTAACAAGTTTACCATGACTAATAAACCAATTTATTGAACAACTGACCTTGTACTCAACAACATTATCACACGACAAAAAAAACAAAATAAACCTAATACAATCATGTGAAACAAAATGAGTTCCATTTTATTTATACACAATTCCAGAGTATACAGATCATATGCATTTTTGCCAGTGAGATTCAGGAATTTATAAAATTTTCCAGTGATGATATAACTTTTTTAGTGATGATAAAATTTTCCAGTGATGATATAACTTTCCCAGTGATGATATAACTTTTCCAGCAATGACTTTGATAAAAAGGATAGTACTCTATCTACACTGCTGTGATTATTGGTATAAAAAGTAATTATATATATAAATGTATTTGATATTTGTTTGAGATTCAGTTCTATGGTAAATTCTAACACCACCTCAATGGCTGATCAAATGACCTTATAAATTGATGTCAAGATATTATATTTGGTGATAAGATGAAAAAATTGGCAAATAAAAAATGCTGCATGGTTTCGTAGATGATTAAACAAGAGACCTATAGGGCTTGTATCACTCACCTGGATTTTTTTTGGCTGTAATTTTGGTTTTGGTCGTAATTGTGTTGGCTGTAATTTTGGTTGTAATTCTTTTGGCTGTAATTTTGGTTGTAATTGTATTGGCTGTAATTTTGGTTGTAATTGTGTTGGCTGTAATTTTGGTTGTAATTGTATTGGCTGTAATTTTGGTTGTAATTCTTTTGGCTGTAATTTTGGTTGTAATTGTTTTGGCTGTAATTTTGGTTGTAATTGTTTTGGCTGTAATTTTGGTTGTAATTGTGTTGGCTGTAATTTTGGTCGTAATTGTATTGGCTGTAATTTTGGTTGTAATTGTATTGGCTGTAATTTTGGTTGTAATTGTATTGGCTGTAATTTTGGTTGTAATTGTTTTGGCTGTAATTTTGGTTGTAATTGTATTGGCTGTAATTTTGGTCGTAATTGTATTGGCTGTAATTTTGGTTGTAATTGTTTTGGCTGTAATTTTGGTTGTAATTGTGTTGGCTGTAATTTTGGTCGTAATTGTATTGGCTGTAATTTTGGTTGTAATTGTATTGGCTGTAATTTTGGTTTTGGTTGTAATTGTGTTGGCTGTAATTTTGGTTGTAATTGTGTTGGCTGTAATTTTGGTTGTAATTGTTTTGGCTGTAATTTTGGTTTTGGTTGTAATTGTTTTGGCTGTAATTTTGGTTGTAATTGTGTTGGCTGTAATTTTGGTTGTAATTGTGTTGGCTGTAATTTTGGTTGTAATTGTTTTGGCTGTAATTTTGGTTGTAATTGTGTTGGCTGTAATTTTGGTTTTGGTTGTAATTGTATTGGCTGTAATTTTGGTTTTGGTTGTAATTGTTTTGGCTGTAATTTTGGTTGTAATTGTGTTGGCTGTAATTTTGGTTGTAATTGTTTTGGCTGTAATTTTGGTTGTAATTGTTTTGGCTGTAATTTTGGTTGTAATTGTTTTGGCTGTAATTTTGGTTGTAATTGTATTGGCTGTAATTTTGGTTTTGGTTGTAATTGTGTTGGCTGTAATTTTGGTTGTAATTGTTTTGGCTGTAATTTTGGTTGTAATTGTTTTGGCTGTAATTTTGGTTGTAATTGTATTGGCTGTAATTTTGGTTTTGGTTGTAATTGTGTTGGCTGTAATTTTGGTTTTGGTTGTAATTGTGTTGGCTGTAATTTTGGTTGTAATTGTATTGGCTGTAATTTTGGTTGTAATTGTTTTGGCTGTAATTTTGGTTGTAAGTGTTTTGGCAGTAATTTTGGTTTTAGTTGTAATTGTGTTGGCTGTAATTTTGGTTGTAATTGTTTTGGCTGTAATTTTGGTTTTGGTTGTAATTGTGTTGGCTGTAATTTTGGTTGTAATTGTTTTGGCTGTAATTTTGGTTGTAATTGTATTGGCTGTAATTTTGGTTGTAATTGTGTTGGCTGTAATTTTGGTTGTAATTGTTTTGGCTGTAATTTTGGTTGTAATTGTTTTGGCTGTAATTTTGGTTGTAATTGTGTTGGCTGTAATTTTGGTTGTAATTGTGTTGGCTGTAATTTTGGTCGTAATTGTGTTGGCTGTAATTTTGGTTTTGGTTGTAATTGTGTTGGCTGTAATTTTGGTTGTAATTGTTTTGGCTGTAATTTTAGTTTTGGTTGTAATTCAAAAGGAAAAGGAATTCTAAAGGTCTATATCTATAATCCATACATAATGATCTCTCTGCCCCCAACAAACTAGTGAAACCATTTACACAAAAGTCTGTTTAACCTTAACATGCCTCAGACCAAATTTGAATGGAAACTTGCTATTCCTACCAAAGAAGGATTTTAAAGAATTTGTTCTATTGCCCATACTGGGCCTTGCTCCTCCTGTCCCAGTGGCAAATGCCCACTTTGCATACAAAATTTACTCCCCTTCACCCAAGGATGCTTGAGACCAAATTGGGACAGAATCCAAGAACTGCTAAAAGAATTTGGAAGAATTTGCTTTTTTTTATCCTACTGGGACCCATCCCTTGTGTGGATAAGGCCTACTTTTTATATAAAATTGAGTCCCATCCCCTAAGGATGCTTCTGATCAAGTTGGGACAGAATCCTAAAATTTTCACAAATAAGATATTTTCAGACTTTGCTCTATTTCTGTAAATGGGCTCTGCCCCTTTTGTCTCATAGGTACATAACATTGGTACAAATTTGAGTCACGGTCACTAAATAATGTTTTAGACTAAATCAAGACAAAATAGAATAATTCTAAAGAATTTACTCTGTTTCCCATATTGGGCCCTGACCCCCTATGTCAACTAAAAAGCTGAGAGACATCGGATGTAAAACAGACAAAAGACAACACACCAAAGCATGTTTGTGGATGTTATATAATGGGTGTTATAACACTGATAACAGGAGAGTTATGTGATGAGTGTTATAACACTGATAACAGGGTAGTTATGTGTTATAACACTGATAACAGGATAGTTATGTGATGGGTGTTATTACACTGATAACAGGGTAGTTATGTAATGTGTGTTATAACACTGTTAACAGGGTAGTGATGTAACAGGTTGTATTATACTGATAACAGGGTAGTTATCTGATGTGTGTTATACCACTGATAACAGGATAGTTATGTGATGTGTTATAACACTGATAACAGGATAGTTATGTGATGTGTGTTATAACACTGATAACAGGGTAATTATGTGATGTGTGTTATAACACTGATAACAGGGTAGTTATGTGATGTGTGTTATAACACTGATAACAGGTAGTAGTGATGTGTGTTATAACACTGATAACAGAGTAGTTATGTGATGTGTGTTATAACACTGATAACAGGGTAGTTATGTGATGTGTGTTATAACACTGATAACAGGGTAGTTATGTGATGTGTATTATTACACTGATAACAGGTTAGTTATGTAATGTGTGTTATAACACTGATAACAGGGTAGTGATGTAACAGGTTGTATTATACTGATAACAGGGTAGTTATGTGATGTGTGTTATACCACTGATAACAGGATAGTTATGTGATGTGTTATAACACTGATAACAGGATAGTTATGTGATGTGCGTTATAACACTGATAACAGGGTAGTTATGTGATGTGTGTTATAACACTGATAACAGGGTAGTTATGTGATGTGTGTTATAACACTGATAACAGGGTAGTTATGTGATGTGTGTTATAACACTGATAACAGGGTAGTTATGTGATGTGTTATAACACTGATAACAGGGTAGTTATGTGATGTGTGTTATAACACTGATAACAGGGTAGTTATGTGATGTGTGTTATAACACTGATAACAGGGTAGTTATGTAATGGATGTTATAACACTGATAACAGTGTTGTTATGTGATGTGTGTTATAACACTTATAACTGGGTAGTTATGTGATGTGTGTTATAACACTGATAACAGGGTAGTTATATAATGGGTGTTATAACACTGATAACAGGATAGTTATGTGATGTGTGTTATAACACTGATAACTGGGTAGTTATGTAATGGGTGTTATAACACTTATAACAGGGTAGTTATGTGATGTGTTATAACACTGATAACATATTAATTATGTAATGGGTATTATAACACTGATAACAGGGTAGTTATGTGATGTGTGTTATAACACTGATAACAGGGTAGTTATGTGATGTGTGTTATAACACTGATAACAGGGTAGTTATACAATGGGTGTTATAACACTGATAACAGTGTAGTTATGTGATGTGTATTATTACACTGATAACAGGGTAGTTATGTAATGTGTGTTATAACACTGATAACAGGGTAGTGATGTAACAGGTTGTATTATACCGATAACAGGGTAGTTATGTGATGTGTGTTATACCACTGATAACAGGATATTTATGTGATGTGTTATAACACTGATAACAGGATAGTTATGTGATGTGCGTTATAACACTGATAACAGGGTAGTTATGTGATGTGTGTTATAACACTGATAACAGGGTAGTTATGTGATGTGTTATACCACTGATAACAGGATAGTTATGTGATGTGTGTTATAACACTGATAACAGGGTAGTTATGTGATGTGTGTTATAACACTGATAACAGGGTAGTTATGTGATGTGTGTTATAACACTGATAACAGGGTAGTTATGTGATGTGTGTTATAACACTGATAACAGGGTAGTGATGTAACAGGTTGTATTATACTGATAACAGGGTAGTTATGTGATGTGTGTTATACCACTGATAACAGGATATTTATGTGATGTGTTATAACACTGATAACAGGGTAGTTATGTGATGTGTTATAACACTGATAACAGGGTAGTTATGTGATGTGTGTTATAACACTGATAACAGGGTAGTTATGTGATGTGTGTTATAACACTGATAACAGGATAGTTATGTGATGTGTGTTATAACACTGATAACAGGGTAGTTATGTGATGTGTGTTATAATACTGATAACAGGGTAGTTATGTGATGTGTGTTATAACACTGATAACAGGGTAGTTATGTAATGGATGTTATAACACTGATAACAGTGTTGTTATGTGATGTGTGTTATAACACTTATAACTGGGTAGTTATGTGATGTGTGTTATAACACTGATAACAGGGTAGTTATGTAATGGGTGTTATAACACTGATAACAGGGTAGTGATGTGAAACAAGTTACCATGATATAGGTGTGGAAGTCAAACAGAAAAATCTATTCTACACATCACTTCATGAGATGGCTGTCAAATAAGGTTATATTTTTTACACTGAAAATCCAGAGAAAAGAAGCCCACTAACAAACTACATTGATTTTATCCTACTGGGTAAACCCAATGTATACAACATGGTTGTAATTAGACAGATACATAATGATCTCATTTATATATTTGGTTGATTGAATCTCATTCACAAACTTATAAAAACAATATATAGAACATTTCAGTTTTGAGCAACAGTTTAAACAATGCCCCAAACTCTGACAAAATGGACCAGAGCTCCAGTGTCCCCATTGGACCCTTGTCTTCCAGAGAACCCATCTGACCCATCAAGTCCCAACTGAACCTGTATCTCTCCTCAAGAACCCCAAATGGTCCCTCATCCTTCAAAATTCACCTTTGCTTTCATCCTATGGAGCCCCCATTACACCTTAGATCCCAATGTCTCCTCCAGACATGCACTTGACCCTTGACCTACAGAGTCCTCAATATTGTCTGTATTTCCACATCACAGATTTGCTGAGTTTAACATATTTGGAACAGACTATAGCTGTCATCTACGTTTAATAATTAAAATATTTGCTGTGATTAACTTTTTTGGAACTGACTCTACTTGTCATTTATAATTCATCATTTAAATAGACTCAGGATTAACTATATATAAAACAGTATCAGGATACAAAGTAATGATCTCAATCTTAACCAATAGTCATCAATTTTCAAACTTGTTTCATTAGTGAAATTTAGGAATATATATAGCACACTACAGAAAGAACTTACAATAGCAGACTTAACATTCACAATAAATTTCATCTCACATTCTCAGATGATCTGGTCATATGTAACAAAAATAAATATAAAAAAAATCAATTGTAATATCAACATTGAGAGTGCCAAGAGGTTAATCACTAAAACTGTCTCTTGAGTTAGGTCCAAAACAATACAGTACAGTCCATCACCTCGGTAATGTAACAGTACAGTCCATCACCTCGGTAGTGTAACAGTACAGTCCATCACCTCGGTAGTGTAACAGTACAGTCCATCACCTCGGTAGTGTTACAGTACAGTCCATCACCTCGGTAGTGTAACAGTACAGTCCATCACCTCGGTAGTGTTACAGTACAGTCCATCACCTCGGTAGTGCTACAGTACAGTCCATCACCTCGGTAGTGCAACAGTACAGTCCATCACCTCGGTAGTGCAACAGTACAGTCCATCACCTCGGTAGTGTAACAGTACAGTCCATCACCTCGGTAGTGTAACAGTACAGTCCATCATTTTGGTAGTGTAACAGTACAGTCCATCACCTCGGTAGTGTAACAGTACAGTCCATCACCTCGGTAGTGTAACAGTACAGTCCATCACCTCGGTAGTGTAACAGTACAGTCCATCACCTCGGTAGTGTAGTGTCCATCACCTCGGTAGTGCAACAGTACAGTCCATCACCTCGGTAGTGCAACAGTACAGTCCATCACCTCGGTAGTGCAACAGTACAGTCCATCACCTCGGTAGTGTTACAGTACAGTCCATCACCTCGGTAGTGTAACAGTACAGTCCATCACCTCGGTAGTGTAACAGTACAGTCCATCACCTCGGTAGTGCAACAGTACAGTCCATCACCTCGGTAGTGCAACAGTACAGTCCATCACCTCGGTAGTGTAACAGTACAGTCCATCACCTCGGTAGTGCAACAGTACAGTCCATCACCTCGGTAGTGCAACAGTACAGTCCATCACCTTGGTAGTGTAACAGTACAGTCCATCACCTCGGTAGTGTTACAGTACAGTCCATCACCTCGGTAGTGTAACAGTACAGTCCATCACCTCGGTAGTGTAACAGTACAGTCCATCACCTCGGTAGTGTTACAGTACAGTCCATTACCTTGGAAGTGGTTTTTTTTGTAAAAAAAAATTTCCCATACTTACTATAAATACTAATTATTGCTTCACAAAATACATTAAAACAATGTTCAATATGTTAGACTACCATTATAAACCTGAAATAAACAAGTAAGAATGACTATTTTCAAGGCTGATATAAAGCCACAAGTCGTAAGAGAAACATTCTGGGAAAACAAAATTAACAAAGGAAACTGTAGCTGATGGCTTCCAGAATTTCTACATTGTATGTTAACCCATGGAACTTTGAATATCGACAAAAAAGCAACTTAAAAAAAGTCTAATATTGATTTTTGTGTAAAAAAACCCGAAAAAATCCATGAACGCAAACGTCTAACCAGGCACAAAAATTATCACATTTAATTAAGATAATTACAGATCAACAGTTAAATAATACCATATTTATTTTTGTATATTGGAGACTTTAAATGACGTCCCACACTGCTTTAGTGCCTGCAGTTTAGTTATATGGTATATATGATATAAATTTTTGTATAACATTGAAAATACATAGATCAATTACTGTTTGATTCTTTGTTAACACCATCTTCTGTGTGGTGTTTGGGAATTTGTCTTCCACATGAACATTTGTCACTGATCCAAATAACTGTTGTTCATACACTCAGTGTACTATATCAGTCTCATAAAAATTCTTATCTGGATGACTGTGGGGAATCTATGTTTCC